TAATGGGGTTGTATAGGGTTTAGGGTTTAGGGCTTAAGTTACCATAATGGGTATATGTAGTACATAATAGGGTTTCCCCAATATAGTAACTTAATTTAAGTTCCTTAACAGCAACCCAGGCGAGTGCTTTGGTACCTGCAATGCCCAGGTGGGGATTGTCCTAAATTACTGTCAATACGGGGTCCTAAATTTGGGTTCCTGGTATAATACGGGTCCCTATATAATTTTCCCCCATTTTGGGAACAGTAATTTAGGGACACTTTCAGGTGCTTCTACGATTCTCTTTTGCTGTTGGGTTTTGTTTGAGGGCATGCTGGCGCACAGCGAAACAGGTGGCTGCAAAATGATGCAAAAGGTGAATTCTTTCATCAAGTGAAGGTTTTGAAGATCTTTATCAGCTGGACCCAGCGGCGCTCGTGTCAAGCGCGGCTTTGTAGCAATTCAGCCCCTGCTCCTTTGATCCATGGGCTTTTCCATGGTGTTTGACGTCATTGGTCCACTCCAAGGACACGTTACCAGTGCCTTCAGCTGATTGGTCTACGTGGGGGGCAAAACTCGAAGCCGTGTTGTCCCCGCTGCTACGCTGCATACCAGACACTTGTGACAACTAGTCAAGGGGGTAATTGACACGGGTCGATGTTCGATTTTTCCTGCAGCTGTTTGTCTGATGAGCTGCTCAAGTCACTGGTGCTTAGAAGATCTTTTAAAGTCTGGCGATTCCCAGAAAAAGGTAGATGCTAAGAGCATCCACAAATCACACTCCTTCGGTCCCTACGCAACAGGCCGCCAGAAGGCTTGAGCATGCCTGCATATGCCTGCACAGGAGTCGCGATGAAGGATCTCAGAGCTCCAGCAGCCATTTGACCCCGCAGCAGACGAGGCAAATGAGCAGGAAGAGCGTGTGACAGCAGGCACAACCGTGGGTGCAGAAACCCCGAGTTCCAGCCTCTTTGAATCGAGGGAAGATCAGATCAATTCACCGCTGTTGTTATTTGTCAGGACGTGCTCGAGGCACGATGTTCAAATGGCCTCCTGAGGGCTTGGAAGGAGAAAGCTCCAGAGCACTAAAACAGAGGTTGTTTAGCCAACATGCCGAGAAAAAGCAAACAAGTCAGGGTACCGGCACGTAAGTCTAAGTTCGAACAATCAGATGGAAAGAAACCACGCCTTCAGCATAGTGCCCTTGCTATTGCCAGGTCGTTGTAGACAGCATAAACCAGCAGTTATTCAGGGGGCTGGCCATGGTGCCAGCTTTCAGTCTAGTTTTTCTTGCCATGGACGGTGATCACCTGCTTTAATGCATTCACCATATAGGATAACACAACTCCAAGCCCTCCAGCAAGAGAAGCCCGTAGTATGGCTTTGCTTTGCTTTGCTTCAGCTTTGAACCCCTGCTTTGCTCCGAAAATACCTTGAATGGAAACTTTGTTTGAGAGCTGCCGACTTCGGAGCAGTGAAGCGGGACAGAGCTTTCAAGGCTGAATTAGACATTCGAGTGCACCTCGTGCAGTGCATCAGCACAAAGTGCACTTTGCAGGGAAACCTCCCTATGTGAAAAGGACCTCGCAACAAGTGTACAGAACACGCCCGACGAATTCAGGTGGCTTAACTGCCACGGAAGTCCAGTCGCAGAGTTGCAACGCCAGAGTTTGGTGGCACAATGACCAGCCTGGTGTAAGCGCTGGCCTCGCTCACATAATGTGGAGCAGCCTACAGCGCTGTGGAGGCCATGGTCGCAAGAAATGCTTTGCACTTCCATTTGTTTGCCATATGCGCACTTGTCAGTGCTGTTGCTTTGGTGAGCAAGCCTGGCACCTCATGCAGCAAATCAGTACGGCCATGCAAGTGGCAAAAGAAGTACTTGCCTGCTCGAGGCGCAGGCAACCTGACTTGACGCTCGCGGGTGAGGCTGGTGACAGACAGGTGGATGAAGCGCAGCATGACCGCCGCGCTAGAGTAGGTGCAGCCATCGCATGGCTGCATTAGCACCGCTTCAGTTTCTTCTTTGATGACTCCTTGTCTAATCCATGTGTAGCGCGTTGCAGCACCCGCCGGCGCAGAACCGTCCTTCAAAGCAGCTAGAAGAAAGGCGGTGAGGTTCAAAATCATGGAGCTAGCTGCTTCGAAAAGGCTCGATCAAAGCTTCGCTTTACGAGAAACAGTTTAGAACTTGCCCAGCTCAACTCTAGCGCTGAGCGCTGTCGTCGCCTCGTCTATTGCGCAATGAAGCGCTTCGGACCCGACGACACGTTGCCGCAGGACCTGGCTGGTGTGTGTTCTTTCAGTACCATGAAGCCGCCTTTTTTGTTCGGAGAGGGACAAACCCAAAGAACAGGCTCGTGAACCAGCGTACTTTACACAGAATGAACTGCATCCCAGAACTGTAATCATTCTCAACAGTTCTCGCTTGGATTTGGTCAAAGCGCCTTTCCTTTGATGAGCTAGACTGACAGAGCTGATGGACCAGGAGCAGTTAAGACTCGTAAGTAGCCATCAGCTCATAGCAGGACTTGCGGAAGTTGCACGAGCTGCTCCATGAAGACTTAACTTCTTTGCCCCCCGGCGTCCAATTCAGAACTTACATACGCCTCATGGGGCACCAAATATGAGCGTTCGACTTGGCTTCCAAGGTTTCAGAGGCAGGAGGCCAAGATCAGAGATCTGCTGAAAGCTCCAGCTCCTCGGCAGCCTTCTCGCCTTCCCATCGGTTTGTCCTTCTAGCCTAGATACGTCCACCTGGGCAGAAGTCTGAGCAGGGGTAACCACTGCAGTAAAAGAGGGTCTATGCTGCAACAGCTGTCTTTTGCATCTCCCGCTTGGCAGATAGACTCAAGCCGAAAGTAGCCATGGTGGAGCGGCCATGAGGGAAGATGCAGGCGCTTGATGGATTGTTAGCATATGGCTTGCGAACCTATGATGAGCCCTGTGTGCTGAAATGGCCGTCTCTGGGGACTAACAGAGGAGGTCCTCAGACGGATGCAAGCAATGTGGCGCATCTTGAGGCGCCAAAAGCAAGAGGTCTCACATGCATGAGCTATAATGTCCTCCTACCCAACAGCAAAGATGGGTGGTGGATTTACAAGTATTATCGGGAGCCTCACGGGCCGCACACTACCTGGGTCGAGCGCCAGAGCTTGCTCAAGAAGCAGATTGCCCGCATCCAGCCTGACGTGCTTTGCTTGCAGGAGGTGTCTGAACTCTCTTTTGAGGAAGACTTCCAGTTCCTTCAGGACTCAGGTTACACAGTCCTACTACACGAGAAGAAGGGCCGGATGCGTCCCGCGACATGCTGGAAAGGCAGCTGGCAGCAGATCGCAGCCCATCACAAAGACCGCAGCCTCATAGTGGCACTCCGGAGCAATGAGCTAGTTATATTTGTCATAAATGTCCATCTCACTGCTGGCCCAAGTGCTGACCGAAGGCTGAGGCAAATGCACGAGGCATTGGAGACGGTTGAGAAGGAAACAAAAAAGATGCAGTTGAAGTCGGACCAGGTTGCAGTTCTTGCTTGTGGCGATTTCAACTCGCAAGGCTGCACCGCTGTCCGAGAGTTGCTTGTCAATGGTGTTGTGAATCCCGACTTTCGGGAGTCAGGCGATCCCACGGAAAAGGGGCAAGAGGGCAAGCAGATTACGTCAAAAATCCGGAAGCACGGCCTCTCGCATTTCCAGGATGCTGCAGACGTTGCGTTCTCTGGCCGCCCGCCAGCAACAATTCTCGCTCAGAACATTGACGACAAGATGGTGAATTCTGATGGATCGCTTACTGGGGCCATGACAGCGGCATTGGATGCAGCCTTCGACGCTTGCCGATCGCCCAATGCCGAGGAAATGACTGGTACGGATACAGAGCGATTCCTGAAGAGGATCAACCGTGAGCTTGGACGAGGCAGTGAGCATCGCTTCGTGGAGGCTGCCTTCGAGAAGAGGGGTCAGAGGACGCTGAGTCGTGAGGACTTCCATGCGCTTTATGCAGCTGAGTTGGCCGAAGGCAAGTTCTGGGGTGTTGAGCACGACATGCGCGAAATCCTTGGCGCTGGCTTGGCTAAGCCTGAGGGTCCTTGCGAATTGCGCTTCGATTACATTTACTTCACCAGACTGAAGCTCCGAAGTGGAGAGGAGCTTCTGAGCCAAGAGCAGCTGAAGAAAATCTTCGGCCCTCCCTGGGAAACGTTGCCAAACTCCTGGCACCCTTCGGACCACTTGCCCGTTATTGCCTCCTTTGATCTCGGCTTGAGCTGACTCTTGGGCCCTTTGCTTTTGACTGATGCGGATGGGTTTGCAAAAGATGCGCAAGTTGTCCACATGTCGATGCAGTCTTGCTGCGCCATCAGATTCTATCATGCGCGCAGATTGCCAAGCCCTTTTGAAGGCATGCTCTTACAAATTCACCCCTGCTGCTCACTCAGGTTGGCCGTGATCATGGACACCTGGCCCTTGCTGGGCACTTAAGCGCCAACGTGCACATGCTCGGCATGTAACCAGAACCGTGTCAATTTGATAGTTGCAGTGCTTTTGTGCAAGCAGAGCTGCCTGATGCCGTTTGAGAAGTTTGAAGAGGAGCGGAATTTCTCCAACGACATTCTGCCACCAAGCTCGTTCGGCAGCGGGACCCCAGATGATCTTGCTGCTGAGGTTCTTCCAGAAGGAGCCGTACTGCGTCAGCATAGATACCATGAGGGTTCTAGTTAGAAGAAGGTAGCGACCCCCTTTTGTGCAGTCTTTGCTTTCAGCAATCTTATCGCATGAAGATGTCTCATTGTTCAAAAATCTTTGTGGTTCCTTAGTGGAAAGGAAGAAATCTCGCTGTTCAAGATTTCCAAGAAATCTAATCATCTTCATATTCGTTTGAGGGAAAAAGAATCCCACAAAAAGATTCGGCGTTCTTGCTTTCACTGCTTGCTCTTCAAAATGCGTCTGATGGAGGACAGAAGCTGCCCCCACGGCCAACCAGCACTGCCAAGCAGATGCCGGCTGAATCTGGCTCATGGGCAGTGAGAGCAGACAGCAGCAGCCGCTTTTCTACAACGCTATGGGCCAGGGGTCTGCAAGGATCTGCAAGGTAGGCGAAGCCTTCGCTCCGCAAATCGATACAGCATGGTAGGAACATGACACTCAACACCCCTCATAGAAGCAGGTGCACTATAGGGTTCTGTGCTTCTCTTGGCATCAACCTTCAAATCAGCACCCTTCCCCCTTGGCGGAGCTGTTGTCGAGGATTCTTGGGAATCATGCCGGACCACGGCAGCGGCCCCACCGGTGACCAGCCGGCCGCTTGTTTGCAAAGAGCTGGATCCACTGCTCATCACGTTTGCGCCGCTTGCACAGGAGGCCATCCCGGGGACTGTCCAGGAGGGGGACGAGAGCCAGCGACCGGGCCAAGCTTTTAGCATCCAGCATGAGGCAGTTGAGCAGTCACAAGAGGAATCCTTCAGAACAAGCAGCATGTATTTTTCCAGAGCTTGCGCAACTACCGCATCCACGCATTGCTAATGGAAGCACCATCGCCTTGAGCGTGAGTTGCGCAAAAGCTTGCAACAGCTTCCAGACCAAGGGGAAAAGTGAAGCAGGGGGCGCCGAACGTGCACCAGCGTCGGATGAGCGTTCGAAAGACTCAGCGAGATACACCGCAGGTGCCTGACAGCAATGCTTTTAGGCTGAACACCTGCTGCAGACATGTGTGGTTGTGCACGTTTGCATGTGGAGCAAGCATAACCTGAAGATGATGCAAACTTGCGGACAGGATGAGGACAAAGAACTCAGAGATATTCGGATGAGAAATGGATTTATTGGAGCAGTCTTCCGCTCAGCTGTCGTGGGCATAGCTATTGGCATACTGTTGTAGCAGCTGTGTCTCCAGCGGTTCCCATTTGGAAATGAGAGCTGCCTGTCCAACAGGGTGACCACAAAGAGACGCGGCTAGATGAGGATTTGCTTGTCACTGAGTTGGCTGCAGCAGAAAGGACAAAGTTCCCATGATGCTCCTTCCTTGCTACGAACGTGTAGGTACGACGTCACGAACTTCTACAAGACGAAAGGTTGCGCACAAGCTGTTGCATCATGGCTGCACCACATTGGCCCAGCTGTGAAAGTCCTTGGAGATGGAAACTTTAGTAGTTTCCATTTTTGTTGCCATTATCCCAATATAACCCCAATATACCCCAACATAACCCCTATATACCCCAATGTAACCCCTCTATAGAAAGGTGCCTTGGCAAGCTGAGGCGCGCAGCGAGAAGTTTGAGCGGCTAACGCTGCTTATCATCAGCTGGGAACTGAGCTGCTCTGCGCACAGGTTTGGACTTTCCTCCAAACCTCCTGCACAAAAGAAGCATAACAAGAATGTGGGGCTTGCATGTGACTACTGTAAGCGATTACGGGCAGCTTTGAAGTAATGCAGCAGCAGGCAAGTTGGCAGTCCAAGTGCTATTCGTGCCAGAACTTAGATTGGTCACTGAGTCGGTTGGAGGTGGCTGGGAATGGCCAAACGTGTGTCCACTGCTAGCCTCAAGCATGCGGACACATCATTGGCTCCACCCGTCAACGTCCGGGCTAGACCTGAGGTCTCAATGCCGTCTACATCGGCAACTTGGCTGCCAAGATGTGAAACACAGGACACAGGGGCCACAGGGCGAGCTCTTTCTGGAATCAGGCGTGGATGCTGACAACAATCCAGCTGCTACGATGCTAGATGCTGCCTGGCCCTACCAGGCGCCTGTGCACACTGTGTTCCACCAGTCGATCATTTTGACAGGGCTTGCATGGCAAGATGAATCGCTGCATTATTGCTGTCCTCCTGCCTCCTGGCAGGTGTGCGACAACCTTTTCTGTGCCTACTTCTCGGCTGAGCTTCTCATTAGATGCTCGGTAAAAAACCTTTCACGGGAATGCTATGGCTTGGCAACTTGCTGCTCTTGTGCAAGGGTGGTTTCTGAATCTTCTGAGCGACCAAGGATTCATGGCATTTGAGCTGAAAAGAAACTGCCTCCGTGACCGATGGTTCGTTTTCGATACCTTTCTAGCCGCTTGCTTCAGTAAGACAAGGCATTCTATTTCTTTTTATCACTGCCTGCCCCGGGCGTCAAGTCCTCCTATTGACAGACCGCAGCACTGCAACAAACATAGTCTTACTCTTGAGCTCCCACCTTCTGCCAAGCTGAAAGATACAGCACATGTCTTGTACGGAGGGAAGCTGCTTTCTACTGCAGGTGTTGATGATGGTTGCGGAGACCTGGGCCGAAGCCTAATCTGATGGTTGCAGGGAGTGACCTCTTCTTCCTAACCACCTCGCCCTTGGTGAGTTTGTGAAGCTTTCGTCTTGAGTGCTTCATGTTGTGTAGTCCTGGATGCAAAAGATCTGTTCTGCAAAGGTTTTGTTGTGTAAACATACCTGTTCTAAACATCATCTCCTTACATGGATCAGAACATGTATGCAGGGGCTCCCTGTCGAGGAAGATTTTTCTCTAGCTCTTAGGGCTCCAAGGCTCCATGCGACAGATGACTGTTGCGAAGTAAAGGCAGCCGGCCACGAGCAGCAGGGCTGTCTAGAGCTAGATCTGGATATGTGCACAGTGTGAAGCTTACCCTCGCTGAGCCCTTAGGTCTTGACAATTCTGTTCGCGGCCATGGGTACAGGCCTCAATGTGCCAACAGGCCTGACCCGCTTTATCATGGTTGCTCTTCCGGATTGTAAGGGCCCTTGATGAGCAAAGCACTGCTGGTAATCATGGGCTTTCCTTGGTTACAAGAAGAAGTGCTTTGGGATAAGAGCCCAAAGATCCTTGCAAAGCAGTGTCGGGTCACTCCGCGCGATGGTGCTCCTTCGCCAATACTCGACCGTCACTACCATGATCTGGCTACCTTCCTTCGCACCACTCATACATGTTCCTTCACCATCATCATCACCACCCAGAACTGTGGCAATTTGGGAATAAATAATGCCGTTTCTATTCATTGGTTGCTATAACTACCCCCAAGAAGGGTGTAATGATGATGATGACCTCATCTGCCAGTATATTTTGACCTCCAAGTACTCGTCAGGCTCTTTGCGGCTTCTCCGCCTGCTCCGCTTAAGCCGGCTGGTTCGGTTGCTGCGATCTGCGCCGGAGCTGCTGACCCTCATAAATGGCATGCGCGTGGCTTCTAGAGCTCCTGGGATGGCATAGGAAGATGGAGGGATTCGCCGAATTGTGAGGGTGGCAATCCAGATTCAGAAGCGTGTTGGTTACAGAGGTTTTGAATCGAGGGTCGGAGCGGGCAAATTGTTTGCAGAAGGCAGCATCCAAATCTGACTAAAGCATTCCGGCAGCAAACTGCCGACCCCCCGGAGATCAGATAGGCGGATAGAGCATCATGGCGAAGTCCTCATGGTGCAACACTGTACGGAAACTGTTGCCCGGCAAGGCTGTCTCGTCTGCCTTGCTGCTGATCATCTTGCTGAATTACGTGTCGCTTGGAGGCGTCAACTGTTGCGACCTGCTGCAGAGGCTATGCTTTCCTTCCTGGAGTGAGACCTTGTTAAGGTTTGCTATTGTCTTGCTTCTGTTCTTGGCCGACATTGAGGACGAGGACGTCCAAGCTTCTTGGTGTGGTCCAGGTGGCTTTGAACCACCTTTCAAAAGGTCCATGCTGGCCAAAGCATCTACGTCTTCTGTTTTGTTGTTTCTAAACGTGTTCCTGCAACAAAGCTGCCCCCTTGATCCAATGCCTGCAAGTATTGGGTAACTTTGAAGAACGAGTGTTTGCCCATGTGTCAGAAAGCTTGTCATTGAAAACACAAGATGCAGTTGGGTCAGATTCAGAGCCCATGTAAGAACAAGAAAAGATTGCTGGAGCATGAGTGCAATACAGTCACAGCAGCGGGCCTGTCTTTCAGGGCAGCCTCCAGCATGCAGACTATCCTGGTGCAGCGTAGCATGCCACGCCGCAATCCAGTTGCTTTTGCCTCCCTATTTTGTCTGCATAACTGGCAAAAGCGTGCTTGAGATCAGCTTTTGACCGCAATTGAGGCTTCCTTCGGCACCTTAGGTCTTTGCTTCTTAGTTGCAAAGGGAAGCCATGCAAAATGCAACTTGCAGCTGACAGGTTTTCGAGCATTAGGGCATTGGGAGTTGAAGATGCCAAGACGCCGGGCTGATTGCAGGCATGTGGACTCTTGCTTTGGATGGGACGTTCATGGATGGAAGCCCAGCTGCGATTCAGCTTGCCACGTGCCTGCCCCAACCCTTAATCCCATCGCCACCGTCCATGTAAGACTTTCCAAAGACGTGTGTCTCAGTCGCTTGTTTGCCTGAGAAACTGAAACCGTTCGAAATAGCAATGAAGCTTCCTCGTGTCAGGAACAAAGGACATCTTTGAGTCGCTGAGGCTTCTTGGCCACTGTACAAGCATGAGTCAATCACTGGATGCCAAGTATTTGCCTTGCTTCAACCGCCGGCACTTCACCAAGGACCTTGGACGAACGGAGTGGGTAGCCTGGCCCAGCACTGGCGATCGAGAAGATCTTGTATCGTACAGTCTTCTTTTGACAATCTGCCATCTACTGTAGTTGTTCATTCGCTGAGTGTTGGCGGCAGCCATAAGTTCCCGAATGTATTGCAGATTTTCTTCCCTAACAAAGAGTCATTTGTGCGTGATTATTGGGTTTGCTGTAAGTCGTGCTGCTGTGTTTCCTCTGTCTTTTTTTGTCAAAAGTCCAAGTTTGCCCGACTGCTTGGCTCATCTGCAAGCAACAGAGTTGGCTCTGTGCTTATACATGCTGTGGTCGGAGCATCAGAGCTTGCCTTTAGAACGCTGCATGACGGACAGGTATGTGTACCCATGGTTCCGCGGTTGGGCAGTGATTGGAGTTTTCACGCTGTACTTGCTGCTGACCAATGTCACAGCTACCAAGCAGCACTTGGCTCTGCATGTAGTTTGACTGGTGAAACTAGTCCTCACGTGATCTTCGGCTCAGGTCATGAACATGCTTATTGGCATTTTGTGCGAAGCTTCTCAGATGCATGCAAAGCAGCCTTAAGGGTTTGATGTGTCTAAATTGTTTCTTTGGACGGTTTCTGTCTGCCATACTAAGGGAGGTTTGGCATGGATGGAGACGCTCTCTTAATCATCCAGCACCTTTTCCTGTCTCCCCCCAAAAAATGATTTGTTCTCTAGTAGCAAGAGGCCTGACCCTGAAGCACGTCACTGCTCATGACACTGTCTTGCAAACGTACCCGAAATCAGATATCCAACTTCCGAACTGCGAGAACTCTAGTGGCCCTTGAACTTGGCTGTGCTATGTGTCAACCTCTAAGACTTGGAATGGTTGAAGTTGTGCCCTAGTCACAATTCGAAGAAGGCAGATGTACTAGAGGGTCTGTTTTGGAAACGACTTAGTAGACCCCCAGGCATAGCATGCTTGATGCCAGGTTGTTTCGGAAGTGAAAAGAGAAGACGAGGCTCCATGGCAGATGTATCTCAGCAGCGTTCTTGCAAACGGATGACTCAATTGCAGGAGGGTGTTGCGATTGACTTCATGAAAGCTCATCTTCGGTCCATGCTTACCGAGATCGACAAGGCCGGGCAACTGCTGATATGAGTCGAAGCATCTGAAACAAAGTAGTCCTGGTTCATTGCCGACAACATCAGAACAGAAATTGTTCGTAGAGAAAAGACACGGTTTAAGACTCTGAGTGCCAAGAGAAGAGATCAGTACACCTTGGGTGGTGCGCATAGCCTGACTAGAACAAAGGTAGTCTGCTTGGTATGAAAAGCAGCTGCCAAACCCAAGCCTGCGTGGGAGAGAGACAGAGAGAGCAAAACAAGAGAGAGTGTGTGTGTGAGGCAGAGGGTATGCGCAGCCTGTAGAAGAAGAAGCAGAGGAAGAAGGAGAGAGAGTTGATAGCTCATATGTTTTGCAGTGTGAGGGAGTTGGTTCAGACCAGGATGGAAACGAAAATATTTCGAAGCAGGCCGCTCGACTGCATTTCCCGGCCTTGCACCTTTGTTACTTCATCCCGTGCCATTCTGGTTCGCCTAAGCTCGATTCTCAGGAGCTAGCGTCTGTGGTCGAAGACGAGAAAGCGCAGAAAGTCCTCTCAGAGCTGCAGGCTGGCCTTGCAAAGTGGGGAGAACGTTGGCTCGAGCTGTGCAAGCACTCGAACCTAAGTGCTGGTTCTACGGATGCCTAGAAGAGTGTAAATGCACATGCTGGCCTTACATAACCGCGCACAGGTGAAGTGCACTGACCCCTCTCAGTGCTGTGGCATGGCTCACGTCCGCCAGGTCAAGCCCGAAGATGTGATCGATCTCACGGACTGGGCATGGCTTACAAAGTTAATGCAGTGAAGCTTCGTGAACTCTTCCTGGATGACGGGCCAGCTGACTTTCAGGAGTACCTCTTCGAGCAAGACATCGACGCCGGGCGCGAGCAAGAAGTCACACGCGTCATGGCATGCAAAAATATGCACAAGGCCTTTCAGGACAGCAAAGTGCAACTTGCAGTTTCCAACGTTGAGGTGAAGAGCTCCTGGAGGTGATTTTGAAGATTCGCGGCGGGCGAGAAATCTCCAACCAGGCACCTGATCGAGCGGTTAGCCCTTCCTGTCAAAATTTATACTGATGAAACCCCAAGGATTTTTGTATGACGCCTTGTCACGAAAGCTAGTGGAGCCAGGCTCGATATGTGTCTTCCTCAAGCAATACTACAGGGACAGACAAGCTTTAGTAAGCAGCGAGCTATTCATTCTATCGCCGGTTGAAGGTGGGGTGGAGGGGAGGGAGCAGCATGAGGCCGAAGGGCATCGACATTGTTCAATACATTTCAATACTTACTATCAAAGAGGATGCGTTGGCTGACTTGCTTGCGCTTACCCTGCTGACTATACTCAAGTGGCCATGATGCCAACAAAATCGTGCTTGGTGGCTGCGTCAAGCTTCCTCTTCCAGAGCTCCCCACACTTGCATGTCCTCCCTCATCCTTCTGCGGCATTTACTACTGGTGCAAGTTTGCATGGGCATGGACCAAATAGCATCAGGCATGATGGTTGCATTAGGCCTCCCTCCTCCTTGTGTATTGAAGTGCTAGCGACCTGGCTAGCTTTCATTGGCCTTGGCTTGCCTGGATAGCCCCTCAAGTAGATGTAGTAAGTCCTGCAAAGCAAGTGCCAAGCGCCCCTCGGAGGACATCATCGATGTTCGATGTGACCCTTACCTGCGCTCGTGTGCTGTTCAGTGCTGACAGTAAGTAGTTAGACTGGCTGTGGGAAGGTCGGTAGGCCCTTGAAGCTGCAAGCAAAGATGCAGTCAGATGACGGGGAGTGGCATGCTATAGATGCGACGGCAGCATGACAGCGAAGGTATGGATGCACAACTGCTATTCGCATCCTAATGAAAGATACTACAGGATGGAAGAGGACATGTGAGTAGTTCCCAAAATTACTGTCCCATTTTGGTACCCCTAAATAGCAGGTGCCGTAATATAATATGTACCCAATCAGGGCCCATAATTCTGAGAACAAGCCATGTGGGCTGAAGCAACGCTCTAAGGACATCCGGCGTATCGTTCAGCGCCAGACTGGCCTGGCAACTTGACATACGGATTTATTTGAGTTATAGTCTAAATTCCTTGAAGGGGTTATATAGGGATTATGTAGGGGAATATTATGGGGGTTATTAAGGGGGATGCTAGGAGTTTAGATTATAGCTCATTTGTATATGTTAGCATTTGTTAGCTTATATTAGCACGTGTTAGTGCATATGGGTGTACATTAGTCTGTGTTAGTACATGTCATGTTAGTTAAGGCATATTAGTAGGCATTCATATATGTATATGCTAGCCTTAATTGGTACATGTTAGTATGTGGTAGTATTTATTAGTACACTTTAGTAACTGCTCAACATTCGGTAGTACAAATTAAATATTGTCAGGGTGGGTGGTGCACTATTCCAACACTACGGGGGGAGGGCACCGCGATGGGGCCGTGACAGTCGTGGTCTTTCGGATGGTTGCAAGAACCAGAAGCAGTCAGACAATAGGATTGGTGCTACTAGTCTGTATCGTATAGTAATGGTGGTAGTTGTCATAGTGGTAGCAGTAGCAGCAGCTAGTAGCAGGCTCCAGTTGTGTTCGTGACGGAACATTTGCAGTGCTTTCCACGGGGAAAATGCTGCAATTTGTAGCTGTGTAAGGTTTCAGCGCCCTCCAGATCAAAATAATCATCCCAACGCTTTTGGGTGCGTACGGTCCAGAGTCTGATGATAAATCTCACTGGGCTCCAGGAACAGGAAGAAATCAAGCCTGCTCGCGTGAAAGGGCGTAATGGTGGTACGCAGTGTCACCCATGCGCAATGCGCGGCATGCAGACGTCAACCCAAAAGTCCTAAATACAAGAACTTCACAACAGAAAAACCCTGAATACCAGTACCTGGCCCTTGAGTAGTGAGGCACTCTCCGCACTAGCAGCGCAAGCCTGAAACAAAACACTTTTGTACCCACAATCGGCAAGACAATCTTATTTCAAGCAGGCCTCAAAAGTTTCTCACACCGAAAGTTATGAGGGGGATGTTACTGGAATGCCGAAGAAACAAAAATGGTTAAAGCATGGCCAAGTGAAGAAAATGCGCAGTGAGAAACGCGGCAGTGGCTGCGGGCCGAGGAGTAGTAGAAGCATCAGTATTACAACAACTGTTACGATGGCTGCTAGCATTTGTAGTATTCATTGTTGTATCAGCACGTAGAAGTTATCATGCTTGTGGTGGTGATGGTGGTTATAAGGGTGGCGAGGGCAATGGTGAAACTAATCGCAGGCCATGTCAATTGTCTGTTTGTAAATTCATAAGTTCGAAGATGAGTGAGCATGTCCCGAGGTCCTGAAAGAAATGACAGGCCTGACCCGGCGCATGGAGGTGATCTTGGATCGCATCGGGACACTGGGACGTAAACAAGTCGGCCTGAAAGCATTTGCACTGACAGCATTTGAAGGCTCTGCTACATTGACAAGTAGCAGTAGAAATGACAAAGCCAGCATCATCAAACAAGGTGTCGTCATTCGTGGTGACTGTTATGTCACCTCTGGAGATGTTCTCTCATGAGAAGTTGCCAAGGCCCATTTAGCAGTTCTTTCTAGCCTCGGCCTGGCCAAGACTGCGGCCGCTTGAGCGTCATGAGCGCCTAGTTTGCGTAACAGTCTTGCATCAAAAGATGCATCCAGCCTAGAAGCTGGACAGGAAGCCTTCCCTGTGGTGTGTGTGGATCATAGAAACAAGATTTGACAGGTACTTTCTCTGCACGAAGCTCATTGCTTGTTAGTAGGGAAGCTCCATGAGAAGTGCATGAATGATGCCAAAAGTCTCTAGCTACACGTGCCCGAGTATCCTTGAGGCGCGTTGCATGTCTTTAGGAGTTTGGCTCTAGGATGGGAGGAGTCGACAAGCTTCTGCCAGCTGTTGCAGGCTACACTGCTTGTGCTAGTCAGCCATAACAAATGTTGTGATCCTGGCTTGCTTTACATGTTTGATGTCGTTGCGTAGAACCAGCAAGCTCTCAAATACAAGTGCCGTGGCGGCGAAATCGTGGGCCACGGTCCAGTGGGAGCAGCCTTGCGGGCATCTTTTTCCCTGGTAGGAAGCTGTCTCAAAACCCAAGGCGTTCAGACGCCTGGAAGCTCCCTCCGTTCCCCGGACAAGGGCTGTGAAACCCTGAGGTCCCGACACATAGGACTGACTGGTGCGCAGTGCCGCAGCCAGTTTTGCCTTGCCTGCAGAAGATGTAGCTCTTTTAGAACCCGCACTTTGTTTTGGCAGACATTCCGAAAGGAATTGCGATGAAAATGTGCACTGAGCACAGCTTGTGCGCAACATGCACTTGGGGACATACTTCGTTTGAGCTTGGCTTGTCCACCTGCCGTGTGTCCATGATGTCGCTTGCCAGGCCTGGGGACGCGTGAGCAAAGCGGAACGGCACATCAGCAGCTTGCCCTGGCAGCAGGCACCATGTCGCATAACACAGTCCGTGAGTTCCCGTTGTGTTTCACCGATCCAAGTATGGTCTGACCTCTCATCTTACAAAGGCTCATATGTGACGATCATCCTAGTGCCATTGCAAAGCCTGTATTAGCCAGTGCGCTTCCTCAGGCCGAGGTCAGATGACCTGATTTGCAGTCTGAGTGCGAAGCTAGATTGCCAAGAAGCGCAGTTCCGCATGACGAAAAAAAATGCCTTTCACATCTCTGGCGCTGGCTGAACCTGGCAGAGCCTGAAGGAAGTTTGTTATCCTTAGTTACTACCCCAGTGACAGTTCAGAACAGCTGCAGCCACTTGAGTTCCCACTTTCATGGTGGGAAGCAGCTGGGTGGGATGGGGCCTTACACATGAAGTCACCGCGCTCAAGAACATGGCTTACTAGATTCAATACAGAACATGGCCTACCCTTCTCCACAGGTAATGTCTCGGGATAGAGTCGAATAGTGGAAGATTGCAGCTTTGCGCCGTCGCACCCAAGAGACAACCACAAAAGTTATTCCAATCAGCAATGCCGCGGTGGCGACATGGCCTGCTGCTTGCGCAGGCCATTAACTTGGCAGTGCGCGCGTAGCCGACAGCGCAGCCTAAACCGCAGCAAAGTCTTCGTAGCTTCATTTGCCATGCTGGATGTATGGCTAGATGGCTCCATCTTTGTACGGTCAGTGTTGCAGTCTTTTGCAGTTGCGGAAAACCATAAGGCCCGCCCTGGTGAAGGTGGCCGGCAAGAGCGATTGTCGCATCCTCACTTTTTGAGCACAGTGCCATGCAAAAGCTTGCCAGGGCAGCTCGAGACGGAGAGGCAGTATATCACAAGAGACGATGGATCCGCTGAACTGGCTCAGAGGCAGTGGCCCGACCCCGAAGACGCCTCCAGCGCCTTAGCTGC